CTTGCGGATGCTGCGGCCCGACGCGATCAGGTCGGCGTAGCCGCGCTGGTGGGAGAAGGCGTAGGCAGAGCGGCGAGCCGAGACCCCGCGGCGGAACGCGCTCTGCCGCCGCTTCCACTGCTGCTCCTCCAGCAGGTACTTCCGACGGTTCCTCTGGATCTGCACGCAAACACGCGGTGGGTCGTGCGTTAGCACATCGGCACAGCCTGAACTCTTTGCATAGCTGTGCTGGCTCAAGGCACAGCAGGAGCAGCCAGACCAATCCCCTACACTCTTAACGTGAACCCTGGCACTCCGGCCAAACCTAAATTAAGCCCAAACCGGGGCCCTCAGCAGCCTCACGAGGTGTCGGTGGCATCACCAGATCTCAGCCAGGCACAAAAGGAAACAGCCCTCCCTGAGCTGCTGCCTCTGGCCAGCCCTGCAGCCATTCCTCCTCCCCCAGGACCCAAGCCAGGCTTGTGCGGCTCTCCCAAGGGCACCATCACTTACTTGTCTCTAACATTAGCACAAAATCCCAGAACGGCTTGGAATGGAAAAGCCCATCTCATCCCACCCCTGCCATGGACAGGGAAACCTTCCACACAGGGACACCACAGCTCAGCAGTGACAGCAGCCCCTGTAAACACGCTCCTGCCATAGTCACCCACATAACACAGATTTCACACACTTTGTCGCTCTCCGAAGGCCAGATTGTCATGGACAAGAAGCGCTGTGCCACGACAGGCAGTAAGCAAATGGCAATGGATAAAATCATGGTAAGCCAAAGGTAGGGCTGTCGCAGAGCATTCGGAGCAGTTCCTGGGAATAAAAAGAGCAAAAGGTAATTATGGCAAAGCTACATGAGACAGGACTGAGAAGCACAAACCGCAAGGACTGACCTGTGAACTGAAAGCCAGAAGGGAAGAGAACGTGGATTCCAGCACTGTGTAAGTCAAATGTGATCCCAAAGTAAAGTGCAATACTCCCAAATACTGAGAAAGCATTAACAAAAGTCCAGTAACACGTATCCAGGCCAATCTAAAGGCAAACAAAAGTGCCAAATGAGTTTACTAATTCCAAATAATGACAACTTTTTGCGTGTTGTTACATTTTTAGTGTAGAAATTTTAGAACAGTGAACAGAAAGTGTTCTCAGAGCACCAGAGCTCAGGAAACCAAGCTTACTTGCCTGAAAATTGACAACAAATATCAGAGAGGATGCTGCTGTGACAGCAAAGGACTGATAATCTGCAGGGGCTTCTCCATCTTGTCCCATAGATTTAAGGTAGGCTCCGTACGGGATGAAGAAGATGATCAGTGAAGTCACAGCTCCATGGAGCAGACTCAAAAAGAACTTCTTGTAGTTGAAAAGTAAATCTCTCTGACCCAAAATATAAAGCCTGGGGAATCGAAGGCTCAGTTTGTCACTCACATCCTTAATAAAGAGGAAAAAAGAAAAAGAAAGTTGTTGTGAATTGTTGTTCTCAGCATGAGCTCTGAAGAGTGAGAAGCTGAACTATACCGTGTCCCAAAGGGAAAGGCAGATCCCTTTCTCCTTCCAACAGCAGGGATTTGCACGGAGCAATGCAAAAGGAAGACATTCTTAAAAGCCACAAAACCAAACCCCTCTTGTTTCATGGCAACCAGTGTAACCTAAAGACCTGGTGGCAGATGCCTTTGGATTCATCTGCTCTAACAACACGGACATACCTGGTCAAGCAAGCCGACGAGCAGGACGGGGAGGCTGGAATACAGCACGTTGTACAGCGTGATGAACCAGTCCTCGTAGGCTGTCTGCAACAGGGGGAATTGCAGGATTTGGGGATTTCATTTTATTACATCCTTCCCATCCACTTCCTGAGAAAACTCTCATGGGCTCTGCTACAGCTTTAAGTTCACCCGGAAGCAGCAGCACCTTGGCTCAAGGCTCTGCTGAAACTTTTTAGTCTGTGTTGAGCTGCCCCACTCCTTGCAAATCTTCCTCCCTGTACAACAATGATCCTGGACTTCAGTGCTCTGCAATCATACCTAACTGCTCACAACTAACTCGCTCAGCACCCATCACATCCTCCTGCAGAGACCACTGGTGACAGCCTCACATTCCTGGCACTTCCCAGGTTAACTCTTTGCTGTTCCACAGTGACAGAAGCACCCGCCTGTTGTTATCCCACACGAGCAGACCTTCCTACCTGGGCAGAGAAGCCATTGAAGAACGAGTACCAGATGTGGACCAGCGTGAAGGCGAAGTTTTTGTAGAAGAAGTATCTCAGAAACTTGCACATCCTGATGTACGACCAGCGCCCGTGCACCAGCAGCAGCCGCTGGAGGTAGCGGAACTGTCCGAAGGAGTAGTCACTGGACATGACAGCCTGCATCCCCTCCTGGCCACTGATCCCAACTCCAATGTGGGCAGCTGGGTGAAGGAGACAAACACCACACACCAGGTTGGACAAAGGGACAGGAGCCTGACCGGGGGCACATTTCTACTGTCACCTGGATTCTCTCTCAGTGCTTGTTCTGTCAGAATGCACCTGGGAAATTCACCAAAGAGAACCAAGCGATGGGACGGAGGGAGTAAAGTCCAGAACAAACTGGCCAGGCAGTTTACGAACACCCTCGGGACATAAACCCTATCCTAGATGTTTTTTCTCACTGGGGTCTCTTGAGAAGCTGTTCAGAGAGTAGCAGGTACAATCTGGGATGGCTAATGCCACCAGGCAAGGGGCAGCCAAGCTGCTGCTTTGGTCTTTATGTTACACTTCTGTAACACACAGCGTGAGAACAGATGGGATTCAAGTCCCTGCTCAGGGGATGCATACAGAATAAAAAAATAAAATAGATCAGGAAAAAAACCACTAACCATTTCCTAAAGTGCTTCCTCAGAAAGGGAAACAGGCACAGAAGGTAAAAGCCCCACGGCAGCAAAGCAGATGGAAGAGTCTTCTGACAGAGAGGGACAGTGGAGAGACTGCAGGAGCAGGCCAGAGGAGATCTGTCCTAGCAAGAGAGCTTGACAGCTGCCTTACTTTTGATCATGTTCACATCATTGGCCCCATCTCCGATGGCCAGGGTGATGGCCTTCTTGTACTTCTTCACCAAATCCACCACCATGGCCTTCTGCTTGGGCGTCACGCGGCAGCAGATCACAGCCCTGCACTCACAGGCCAGATCAACAAAGTTCTTCTGCTGCTGCTCCTTGTAGGCCTCTGCCCTTCTCCTTTTTTCCGTTTGTTTCTTCTTCTCTTCTGCTGTTCTGGGGAATTTCAGTTTAAGTTTCTTTTTCTTCTTTTTCTTCTCCAGCAGGATTTCATTCTGTGAAAAAAGTAAAACTTACTAAATTCCCTTCTGCACCATTTCCAGTCCTACTCCAGGCACTATCTAACATCACACCTGAAGTCATTATGCTCCCAGTGTCCATTTCTGGCATTTTAATGAACTGCTCGTGCAGACAAAGGAACAGAGTCCTCAGTGAGAGGCACTGTAGCCTGGTGGTGCCCCAAAACCCCAGACACTCGGGGGAACAGCCTTGGTACATACCAGCCAGGAGCCAGTGATGATTAGAGCCCGATCTCTGCTGCCCTGGAAGAAGGGCTCGTTCATCCTGAGAGAGGAATGTGGACTGGATCCAGCCCTGTTCCTCTGGTTTTCCAGCCTCGTTTGAAGGAGAGCGCTGGAAAGAGATGGAGAAACTGTTACAGAAAAGCCAAGGTCAGGCTCAGACTGCAAATCCTGAAAATGAACTCCTCTGTGTTTTCACTTGCCTGGTATCTTCTCCATAGCAGATGGCCGTTTCCTCTGTTAAGAGTTCACAGGAAAATCCGATATTTTCAGCAGTTTCTACCAAAAAAATTAAGAGAGGAAAGTATTTACTGAAAGTTCTGTCACAAGTAATTGTTAGGAGCAGCCAGAAGCAGCTCAAGTGCTCTTAAGTAATTTCTGATTTATGTTTCAGTATGAAAATTGCCTTTCAATGCCACAGTGCAGATGAACAGGATAAAACCCTCCTGTTTTCAGCTCTTTGGCATAAGCAGCCCCACCTTTTTTGTCACCAGTAAGCACCCAGATTTTAATGTCTGCTTTGGAGAGTCTGGAGATAGTTTCTGGAACTCCATCCTGTAGTTTGTCTTCAATAGCTGTTGCACCAAGCAGCTGGAAGGGAATTGAAATACAGGTGGTCAGTAGCATTGAAACATTGAAACTTTCTTTTAATAACACAGTTGAAATGTACTAAAAATGCACAGCTCCTTACAATCAGGTTTTTCTCTATTTCTTCATACACTTTGTCCAGAGCTTCATCCCGGTGACTTGTAGCTAAACTGGCCTCCACAAACTTTTTATTCCACGCTTCAAATTCATCCTGGCTTATGTCTCTGTAGCACAGGCAGAGTGTCCTGAGAGTTTCATTTGCAAAGACCTTAAAAATAATTAAAACCACACATATCCACAAAAGGAATCTCTTCATTTGCAATCCAAACATGAGGGTAAGAACATAAGCATTTGACAAGTTTGACAAAACAAATCCAACTTTCAGAACTAATTGCAGGTTTCCATTTGTCTTAATAGCTTAGGAAAAGGAAATTAATACCATTATTGTCAGAAATAAACAATTTTTTTAAAAAAAGAGCATACAAAATAAAAACATACATCGAGTGCCTCTTCTGTGGCTTCTCTCTTTAGATTCCTGGGGTGCAGCCGCTCGTAAATCACCGTATCGGCCCCTTTGCAGTACAGCCTGATATTGCCATCGGTCTCTCTTACTGCGGGGAGAAACAGCACAGGTGGCACCCTCAGATAAAGGAATCATTTCAGATTGGGTTTTTCAGCCTACTGCCAAGTCCCAAAGCACAAGACAGCATTCCTTCTTCAGTGGACTCAGAGGTGCCCCAAGGCTGTCACACAGCTGTTAATTCTCGACGCCAGCTTCCTTTGCACACCCCTTTTCACCCCTGAAATTCTCCGTGCGCGCTGGCGGCCATCAGCTTACCGATGACAGACATCCTCTTCCTGTCGCTGTTGAAATCCAGGATGGCCAGGACATCGTAGGTCCTCTCGACCCCCATCTCACTGATGGTGATGGTGTTCTGTGTTCGGGAGAGGAAAACGTACCCGAAGTTCCGGGCGGCCGTCACCAGGGCCCCCTCGTCCGGGGACGCTGCCTGGTAGTTGAGCTGACCTGTGGGATGGCAGGCAGGAAATGCTGGGGTCCAGCTGGGCACAGCTGCAGCACACACACACACACACATAGAGCAGTGACCGTGAACCCACCCGGCCCTCACACCTACCTCCCAAACTGAATCAGTCCTCAGCCTGCTTCCCCCCACAGATTAAAGCAAACCCCCATGTCTTCTACCTCAAAATCCTAATTTCTCAATCCGGTCATTGAACCACTTCCAAAAAAAGCTCCAGAAGACAAATCCTTGGTCAGAGATGCCAATACAGTGAGTGGAAACATCCCCAAAAACATTAGGAACAAGAAAGGACAGGACACCGTTGGTTCCATGGAGATTTCACAAAGATGGGAGTAAAGCAATATTAATATTCCATGTTTTAATCGAAACTTCTGACCAGTGATTCACAAATTCAACAGCTGATCACCCCTCCATTTAGTTTTGTTTAATTTAAAAGGGCAGCCTAACACTGCTCCCTTAATATATCAGCATTAGGTGCAGATCTCTCCCTTGTAGAACTGAATTTGAATTATTGTTTTCTGCTACACAAGGAAAACAAACCAACCAAAAGCCGCACTCACCATCAGAAGTGTCAGCCATGACTGTGTGACAAATAGCGAGCAGAAAAAAGAACTTCTGGATTTCTGGCTCCTTTCCAGACTTTATTTGCTCTATCAGATATTGATCATAGAATAAGAACTTTCCATCAGCGTACGTATTCCAGCTGAAATCGACTTGCTGCTTAGAACCCAGGGGAAGAGAGTCTGAGTTAGCACAGGCGCCGTTGCTTTGTGCCCACCCTCACCTCTCCGTGCTCTCTGCCGAGGGAGCGTTCCCGTTCCAGGGGCCGGGACCCAGCTGGGCTCAACCTACCTCTGGGTGGCTCTGGAGCTGCCCCGCTGCATCCCGGCTGTCTCCTGCAAGGGAAGCACCCGCAGTCAGGGGAGCAGGCACAGCAGAGTGAAGCACATCTACAACATCAACTGCCCTAGCACTGCAAGCAAAGGAAAAGGACAAACTGCTGCTCTTGTCTGTTCCTTGACTTTGGCCCCAAAGCCTTCCTAGTGAAAGTAAATTTGTACAAAAAATTGTGCAAATTGCCAATTTTCAGTTTTTCTGAAAGCTGAGAAGTTCCTTAATTTCCACTCTGTAAATGGGGAAAAAACCTCAACAATTCAACCCCATGCTTTACCAATGCCAGGTCTGAATTGTGGAAGTTCAGCTGGAACTAAGAGAACTCATATGTACCTGATTTCCAACAATTCCTCCTCCTCCTCCTCCTCCTCACACAGGCTTTGCACAACTTACCGTATCTTTGTCCGTTTATGCAGCACTTTTTGAAGGTCATGATGTTCTGTGTAAGGGTTCCAGTCTTGTCTGAGAAGATGTATTGGATTTGCCCCAGCTGCTCGTTGAGCGTGGTGGTCCTGGCCTTGGCAGCCGTGTCCTTCTCGGGGTAGTACATCTGCAGGTCCCAGTTGATGAAATAGCTTTGGCCAAAGCGAATCACTTCCACGCTGAATGAAAGAGAGGGAAAGTTCTCACTCGCAGCTGCAGCTCGCGTGTCCACGCAGCGACACCTCCTGAGGGATTTCCTACCTCACGTAGAGGGAGATGGGCACCATGGTGTTGAGGACAATGATGTACCCCCAGAAGTTGAGGAAGCCCCGGTAGGCAGGGCTGAAGTCCTGCGCATCGTACAGGTACCAGGAGGAGTTGCCAATCTGCTGCTCCCAGTAGGTGTGCCCGATGGCCAGCCCAGCCGACAGCAGGATGAGGACCACGATGATCTGCAGGGCACACACAAAGGCTTCTCACTCTTCAGAAACACTTGCTCCACCTGAATCCCAAATCCCCGTGTTCCAAACAGAATGTGACGGGTATTTGTGAGGAGAAATGGAGCAAATATTTCCCACAAAGGCACTTTTCACACTTCCTCCTACTCCATCCCAGCTCAGCAGGCCAGAAAAAAGTCAAAATATACTTATTACACACACACAGGAAGAGGTTGCCTAACTTTGCATTCACTATTCACTTAAAATCTGAATTTTAAACAAAAAGGCTTACAGTATAAACCATGTAGTTCATGAGGGAGTCAATTTTTGTCCTTTTAAATCTTGTCTTTCCACTATTTTTCATTATTTTTGTGTCAGCACCTAAAAATAAAGAGTGAAAAATTTGAAAAAGGAAAGATATGATGAGCAAACACACATCGGTATTACAGTTTTACTGAAGTGGGATATGAAATACAGTTGGTATCTGTAGGATGAAGATCCTTTTTCACTCTACAGGTGTGCTCTTAGTGGGGAAATATTACTCACCTGCAAATATGACCATTCCATGGCAGAAGTCTGTATTCCTGATCTTACAGCCACGCAACAAAACCTTATCAGCATCCAGGGAATAATTTGAGTTTCTCCAGGATAATGTTCCTGTAAACTTATCCAGTCGGTTATTGGGTTCTTCACATTCAACCAGACCTAGAAAATTTGGAGGAGAATGTGTTTAATGTACAAATTAAATCCAAATGCACTGATTTGTACCCACCATGGAAGTAGCTTTACTTTACTTATATTGACTTATAAACAATTTGAGCTACGTTCTAACAGCATTAGGTTAGAGCTGTACCCACCATCAAAGTCTGCCAGGGCACTTTCTTCCTGAAGGTGTCTGTGTGTCACCTCTAGGGCCATTTTGAATTTCAAGTTGGTCTCTCTAAGAAGAAAGGATTAAAAGGTGATTTTATTAAAGCCACGGATACAGGAGAGAAGTTTAAACACAATTAAGTTAAGGTAACACTACTTCTCTGGGCAACCTATACTAAAGTAAAAAACAAGTCCATATCCTTTCCCTTTCTTCCCATGTCACATCCTCCAACACTTTTGATGTGTCTGTAGCACTGCAGTGGACAGTTTTGAGTGATTCTTCAGTTGTGGGAATCAGCAGCTGGGTACATTTGCCCATGTGTGCCTAACAAGCACGTACACAATCCTTGCTCTTTTCCTACTCAGCCCAAATGAACTGCTGGACGTCCCTAAGCAGAGCCTTACCCATCCAGTTCAGCTGTCTCCACGTAGCACAGACTGTTCGGTTCTGAGCTGGACAGCAGCAAAATATCAGCCTAGGGAATAAACAAACAGACATCAAATAAAGCCAGGTCAAGACTCCTCCAGAACTCTCTAGAAACATAAAACAAATGTATCTGAAGCACTTACAGGAACAAAAGCATTTTTCTTCAGACGAATGATATCACCAACTTTAATATCTTTCCATTTAGTGGCTTTGAACCTAATGTCAAGATAGTTTAATAATTATTATTCTTTAATCTAGAACATGATGCACTCTATAAATCTTCTAGGACTGAACTTTGCTTAGAACAAAAATGAGCTCTTGGTGCTCTGTGGGTTTGCATTTCAGAAACTGCAATTTCATTGAGGATCTGCAGCTCAGAAGTCAGCCTAGCTCTTCTCTTCCCACTTCACTGAGTTAGGAATTCCTGTCCTTCTCTCCAAAGAGGAGACAAGAGATCTGTTGCTCTTAGCACAGATTTAGTCCCAGTGAATTAACTTTAAATTACTCCTTTAAGCAATTCTCTTCCAGCTTCAATGAGGTTTCCAGGCAGGCAGCAGAGACCAGAGCTGAACCTTTCCTATCACCTACAGCTTCAGATCTGGGGCAAAGCTTAGCAACAGGGCAACACTCATCCCTCACAGAGCTCAGAGGGGAACACACCAACCTTCCATCCTTGATGACATCGCATGTCCTGTTATTAACCTCGTTGTCCATCCTGTGACGAGCCTGAAAGCGGAGCAAAGAATGAGCTCCCTGCTCTGTCACCACAGGAGAAATGAGCTACACTGGGTGGGTTTTGCTTTTCAGTGAACAGAACGTGGTTCTTACAATGTCATCCGCCAGGTCTTTGACTGCAGTTATTCCCAGCACCAAGAGCAAGGGCACCAGCGTTGTGTACCACGACAGCGTCGTTATTTGAGGAATCGACTACAAAAGACCAATAAAATCAGTTCAGTACAGGATCATCAATCACATCTAAATCAGAGGTATTTCATAGTCACCTGGCTAGAGAAAAAAACACCGCATCAGAGAGAATTTTAAGACAGGTTGTGCAAATGAACAAAACTCTGTGGGAAGGGTTTGGCTGTTACACTGCTTAGGAATCAGCTTCCCCTTCACAATTGCGCTGGTTCATACACCGTTGGTGCTTCTGATTTATGAGATGAACTCAAGAGACATCTTTTCCTCATGAAATTCATGAGCTCTGCAACGAGTTCATTCTAATTCTGTGCAACTAGCTCATCCCAGAGCTCTGCTATAGCTCATCCACATTTATTGCAGTTTCTGCTGTGATGGGTTTGGTCTCGGCAGACAGCGCCCCTCAATTCCCTGACAGGACAGCACTGAATTGTGTCATAAATATTATTGAGCTCAGATTCCCTTCCCAGCGAGGATTCTCCATCTCGCTTACCTGCAATATGAGAAGAACAAGGAAGTAAAAGTTGGCTGCTCTCTTGAACTGTTCAAACAGATTCAGAGGTAAAAAAGTGATGGGGTTGTACTTGTACGTCTTAATTGCGTTTCCCTGTGGGAGAAATCCAAACATCAGTCACACAGCAGAGCCTCTCCTTCCAGCACAAATGCACAGTGCATATTTTTAAGCTCCTAATTCTCCACCTCACCTTAAACACGTCTCTTGATACTTTGATTTTCCATTCCAAAACCCCAGCCCAGTTATTCCTCCCCCTCCTCTGCTGGAAGCACTGAGGAATTGTGAACGGTGGTTTTTCCACCACTCACCATCCCAAAGAGCTTCAGGGATTAAGGAAGCATTCACCCGACAGTTAACACCTCATTGGGATAAGACAGCTTACCGCATATTTGCTTTTTTTGAAGCACAGGAAGATTGTTCTCTTGAAGCCCGGCTGCTCATAGAAGCGCTGATCGTTTGCTTTAACTTGCCAGCTGCAGTCTGGAAGGGATAAAAGGGGTCGAAAAGCGTTATAAACATGAGGGAACAAATCTGCCACTTTCAGGTTTTCTCTCAAATCCGTATTTTAAAGGTACTTCCAATGAAGCTCGGCTGGTGCCTGCTTTATAGTACATATCCTTAAAAAAACCTTTCCAGTTTCCAGGCTGTTTGTCTCTCCCAGCAATTCAAGTACATTCAGAGGAAGAAGCATTGCTTAACATTTGAAAGTTCTGTGGGAAAGCTGCAGGGTAACGTTTATTCGTGTTAAATTCCCTTCTCTCCCCTCTTTTGGTTCACTTCTGTGAGGCCCGTGAAGCGCTGAGCGCTCCAGCCCTGCTGTCTGTCTTGCTGGAAGAGGTCAGCTCATCTTTTGAAGGCAAGTATTTGTTCACACCCATAAAAAAGTACAAATCTGAAGTGCTCGTTTTAGTTCTTCAGCCACAGCTTTTGTTTGATTGTGGGAACACTCAGGAACAGGAGCTGCATCCATCAAATAATTGTCTGTGCCTGTTCTTTCACCGCTTTCGCTCCCATTCCCCGCAGCCCGGCACCCCCAGGCACACACTCGGGAAACCTCGAGGTTTCCCATCCCGGGAACTCCTTCCCCAGCTTTGGAAGGCGGTTCCCGGCAGCTCTGCCTGCCTGGGGAGGGTGAGGCAGGCAGATTTTGAAATGCAGCTTTCCTGACTCAGCGGCCAAGCATCCCCTCTCTCCTCCAGTGGAGTGACTGTCCCTGCTGGATGCTCTTCCCGGTTTCACCAGATCCTCTTCACCCGTGGACGGGGTGAAACTCCCGGCGGCAGAGGAGTGCCACGGCCGTGACTCACACCTCAAAACCCAAATCCAAATGCAAAGACTTTTTTTTTTTTTTCCCCCTCACCCACCACGGAGGAAATTCCAGACTGACATATCTGGACTTTTCCTGTGACTACACAACTTTCATTTCCAGAGGCCTGCTTACAAGCCCAGAAGATAATAGAGAAATATTTGTTTCAAAGAATCACGTTTTGAGCTGAAAGATTATACCCATAAATTGAGAAAGTTACTAAATTTTGTCAAAATGACAGGGCATAAAGAAAAACATAAAGTACATAAACGTTTCTTTTACACATTCCAAAAACATTGCTGCGCTGATAAAACTGATGGAAAACTGGCAAATGAGATCTGAGGTAAAACCTGCAGAAAGCAAGCTCCTCAAAATTACTTTAAACTGTGGTGCTAACACGTAATGTTTTGGCAAGCTGCTTTGGTAATTCATCAACTTGAAAGGATGTCATCATTAAAAAAATCTTAAGCTAAACATGTGACAGGTGCTTGTAAAATGAAAACATAACAACAGGTGGTTATGAAATGAGAGCTGATCAACTGTTCCCACACAAAGAGGAAAAAATCTGTATAAATGGCACAGGCTCTGGTTACACTGAAAATCCTCGTGTTGCAGCATGAGAAAAGGGAATTTAAGGGAGCTCCAGATGTTTTTTTGGGCAGAGGTTCAGAACAGGGATGCCAGAAAGGCTCCTCCCACTGTTCCTACGGCAGCAGCCACAAGCTGTACCTGCCGGTTCCTTTGAACTCCTCCCACTCACCTTTTACCTTTCAGGAAACTCAGGAGGCTACAAAATGAGCAGTGAGCTGGAAATCTGCTCTGCACAAGCAGAAATCCAGGCAAAACACTGACTGAGCACAGCAAAATGGTTATGCTGGAGCCCAGAGGACTGGGAAAACAAGCAGCTGAAGGTCTGTCTGAACAGTTCCCAGAGCACAGGCCACGCACATCCAGGGCCTGCCTTAATTAAGAGGAGGTCACCACGCAGCTCATTATCTTTACGCAAGGAGCAGTGGCACAGAACAGGGCTGCAGGTTGGAATGAAGCTGAGTTTCATTCTGACATTTGTTAAACTGAGCTACCATCAGTTACTCCTCCAGAGTCAGATAAGCCATCCCAAACCATACCTGACAAATAAACACACGAGTCCAATGGGTCCCTGAGGCTCAGCCTCTGCATCCAGCATCGTGTACTGCCCAAATCCAGTTCAGGATGTTGTTACCTTTTTTCCCAGGATTTCGGATCTCCTCAGCCTCCCTGCTGGCTTGCTTCGCTCCCAGCTCAGCCCCAGGCTGCCGAGCGTCCAACTCGTCCTCTGTTTCATCGTCACTGTAGGGCACCACCTCATCGTTGGGCTGGGAATCCTCCTCGAAGGTGGTCTCTGAATCCCTTTCTGAGATCATGCTGCTAGCAGCCTGCAGAGTTTGGGACAAATTAGGGAAAAGAGCTCACGTAGCAAGTGCCACAAACCACATCTCTAATTTTCCTCTGCTGGTGCCGCTCACCAAACCCCACATCTGAAACCAGTTTCCCCAGAACAGCCCAGGGCACGGGCTCGGTTTTCCAGCACCGAGCAGAGTCAGGGGACAGTTGTTGCCCCAGCCAGCCCCTCGTTACTGTTGTGCTACGTGTGATTAATTACACACCGCAGCACCGTGTGCTCTGACGCAGGGCGGAGGAGCCGGGGAGCGCACAGACACGTCTCCCAGCGGCCACTGCACCGTGAGGAGCCACAGGAGCTGGAGCCCTGCTTGGCCACAGTGGGACACGGAACCGAGCACCGAGAGCCAGGTCAGACATCCAGGGCTCAGGTCACACAGCTGATCCTCCATCCCGGCCTGCCCAAAGCAGCCTTGTTCCTGTCTCTTCCACGGGCTGAGCAGCAGTGTTTGTCACTGCAGGATCCCACTTGTTGGTGCAAACACCCCAGCACACCACGGGACGCATTCTGGCTCAGGCCTGAGCTGTAGCAGAGGAGGGATGGTCTCCAGCTGAGCTGCGGCCGTGCCCATGTGCCTGGAGTCTGGAATCTCCAGCCATCGCTGGGTGGGAGCCTAACCCTGAACTACACAGCAGCTTGCCCTGCCTCACCACCAGGCATGGCCTTTGCTAACAAACCCAGCAACCAGCAGGGTGGGCACCAAAGCTGCTGACACCCCCTCAGCTTCCGCTTTCTGCCGAGCTGAATCACCTCCCCTCCCTAATATCTGCGGTAAGAGTGAGATAAATATTCCATGAGCACGGCCCGTGCTGCTCCGGTGGCAGGCTGCTGGCAGGGAGCCCAAGGCACGCCACGCTGCTGAGGCACAGCGCTGCAGGGCCCGCCCAGCACGCACTGACAGCCCACAAAACACAACAAATCCACCAGGACAAGCGTACAGGAACCCACACCACTTCTCCCACCCAAGCTGTTGGAGGCTTCTCCCTGATGGAATTGCCCAGGAGTATGACAGCTGGTCCCTAACAGCTGTAGAACCTGTTACAGATCATGTTTTCCTAAATAGCCTTGCAGTTAGGGAATACACCTCAAGCTCCAACTCAGGCCCCTGAATACCTCACTGTGATATTTTGATTTATTTCTTTTTTGTGCTTTAGTTCTTTCTGTCCTGCTAACGCCCCTTGTGGGGACTGCTGCGGGGAACAAGTTCCTCCCACACACTGTGCCTAGAACACAAAATGCCACCAGATCTTTGACTCCACAGCAACCGAAACCAGCTCATATTCCTGGCACACAGAGATTCAGCTGTTAGTCTATTAAACTTTACTGATTAACTGCTTAATGATTAATGAACGAATTAGTAATGAGAAGGGTCAGATGAGATGTTAAAACCGTGCTGCTTTTGTTTTCCATGACAGATGTGTGGCTCCACGGCAGTTCCTGCAGTGCCACCAGGGGTGATGCTCACTGGGAACAGACGCCAGCAAAGTGATCTGGGGTAAGGTTAAATTAACTGCAGTCACTTTCCCTCCTCAGAGAACTGAACTGCAGACTGGAAAACCTCGTTAAGAGAGGAGATGTCATTAAGAGTTCCCCTGCAGGCAGCACAAACGCTGTGTGCTGCGGGCACAGCATTAGCATGCTGCAGGAGGCAATGGACTCGTGCCGGAGCCAGCCCGGAGCCTGAGGAAAAGCTCCCGCAGCTGGGAGAGACAGGAGCTGCTGCGGGACCCAGAGCACAGGAATCCTCCCGTGACAGGCTGACAAATTGGTTTCGAGTTAGGTTTCTTGACACCTGGTCTGGAAGCGAAGGGCTGGCTGGGACGTGCCGCAGGTTCAGAGGAAGGTGTGTGAAAGGGGAGATGTGAGGAGTTGCAGAGATGCCAGCTGGGCCTGAGGCAGCGGGGAACAGAGGGCAGCACACAGCCAGCAGAGCCTGCACCCAGCAGCAGCCAGCAGAAACTAAAGGGGAACAAACATGGCAAGAACAGAGGAGGCCACTACTGGTTTTTTGATGCAGTCACCATTCTGAGGACTGTGGAAACAGTTCATGGAGATGGAACAACATAGCTGTTGTTACTCAGAGAAAACTTTAAAGAGCTGGTTCTTGGCTGCATGACCCTCACTTTCTAGTTCCTGCCTTGACAGCAGGGGCTTTCATACTGTTTCAGGTCAGCTTCAGAACAGAAAACCTCACACTGACCACCTCAGCCTAGAGGAAGTGTCAGCTCACACTGCCTGGGTGGGTGGGGAGCAATGCCCAGCTCCCAGCTCTGCCTTCTAGCTCAGGAAATCCTACTGATTCAACAGTGCTATGGATATATGGGGAGGTAAAGGAGATCAAAATAGTATTAATCACAGGTTTAGGTGTACCTGATCCAGTTTATTTACTTAAAGGGCAAATTCCACTCAGGTTAGGTGTCTACTTCTGCCTCAGGGCAAGCACCAGATAATTTGGAATAAATTAAACCTTGTAAAAACTCCACTTACTGCATTTGTTTCAAGGCAGTAAACAGCAACCCAAAGCAATCTTACTCTAAAATCTTCTCTGGAGAGTCACTGCACATGACAGTGCTGTGAGAACCTGGGGTGACTTCTTGCAAATCAGATCATCACTCAAAGTGCCAAAGTTAACGAAGGGACATGTATAGTAGAAGGATTAAAATGCCCCTAAAGCTGTTATTTTGTGTTTATTATGGCTATGAAGACCTCAGATGTGAAGCACAAACCTCACCATCACACACCTGCTGGCCACCACAGCCTGTGCACAGCTCACACCTGCATGTTCCTGTCCTTGGCACCATAATCTGCACTACCTCACTCGCCCTGGCAGTGCCAAGCTCAGCAGCTGCTCAAACCTGGCCACACACTGTTCTTTCAGAGCACAACAGCAGAAACATAAAGCAAACTCAAACAGTACAAAAAGTAACCCAGAGAGACCCTTCTGAACTGCTTTAGGTCTCTGGAGTTCAATTAGGACAAAAAAGCTACAGCAAGATATTCCACTGATTTATCCTGGCATTTTAAAAAGTATTTAAATGCAGAGCCTGATCCTCAGACATGTAAGATTCATTTCTTTGCTAGGGATTACTGGAGCATCTGGCACTGCAAAACAAAACCTGCTGACAGGAGGGCTGAATACAAACTCCCAGAGCTGCTCTGGGCTGGGGTGTCCCACAAGGACCTGCTGGCAGATGCATGAGCACCCCAGTTCTATTTTCCCTCAGTAATGATGCTGCCATCCTCAGCTGTCCCACTCTGCTCTCCTCGGCAGTAACGGAGAGTCAGAGCCAAAACGGGAGCACGGACAGAGCCAGCCTGGGAGGGAGCAGGGGCTCATATCCCTCATATTCCCTCTGCCTCCCACAGCAGATTATTGCCTTTCTGCTCTCCCCTCAGGGATCCTGGCCAAGAGCTTTCACAGGGTATGGGCATTCATGAAAAATGTATTCAGCAACTCATTCCCTGGAACCAGAGCTGCTGCAGGGAAACCAGCAAATCAGAAACTGGGGTTTCTTCCAACCCGTGAGCCGAGTCACTGATTACTCACAGCAGATATGAGATGTTACTGGGAACAAGTGCTTGGACAGGCAGATAGAAGGGTCTCCTGAACAGCTCCAGCCTTCCAGGTAATCTTTATGACATTTGGAGAGGAAAAGCAAACAGCAGCTAAAACAGCATGAATCAGCACAAAAAGGCCAAGGAAATAACCTTCACTCCAAGCACTACTGAGCTTCAGGGAGATTGCCATGTAAATGACATGCTTAAAGCTGATCAATCTGTAGAGCTATCTCACACATGACTTCAGGTACTTCCCTGAATGACTAACTTATGGTAGTTGAACACCAAAAATGATATCTCGAAGGGGATGATTTCCCTTAGTCATTTGTTCAGAAACACCACTGGCTGTCACATGCACCCTGAGAAAGGTAAAGCCCAGCTCCTGGGATGCCCCAGAGAAGGCGAGCCCAGGAGTTCAGGTATCTGAACTCGAGAGCATTGAGGTAATGAAACCCAGCTCCTGACCCTGCACATCTTCCCTGCACTGTGAGCCTGGAAACGTTCCCACTGGAACCTGCCAGCACGTGCCTAACTTGGGGTGGTTCAGGTCCCTCCCCAAAAGGTTCCAATCAGAGCGGTTCCAGTATGGCTGCAGATTAAAACCCAACAGGCTCCTGGGGAAGCCATGCACCCACACGAGCCAGGACAGCAGAACGTGTCATAGCCGAGATCTCCACACAGCAGAGCCACCACCGACTCCAGCTGTCCCTGAGACGTGGGAAATCCCTGGGGACCCCGTTCTGCAGGTGCCAGGAGTCACCATCGAGTCACCTGCGCCATCGAGTGCTGCCGTGCCCCAGCCCCTCATCACCACCACGCCACACACCGATTTGAAATACAAAGTTTATCTGTTTGATTCACAGTAGCACCTGAACACAGGCACCTACTGCTGCTCTGGAGGCTGGACAAACTCTGAGCACCAAGGACTAATTCCAGCTCCAAGAGATTTTTTAATTGCTACCGTGCACAGCCAACCTCACAACACCCACAGATATTTCCTTTGCAGGGAACCAACCCCGGTCCCTCCTGCAATGCTGCAATAACCCAAATCACCAGCACCATCAGGAGGCAAACACCACAGCAACACTGGAACACTGGCACCCCCAAGCTCTGCAAAGCTTGCTTTAAAAAGCTGCTGGGAGGTGACAGTTCCTGCCCTGAACACACCACACACCTGGTGAAGCAAGCTGAGACACCAAAACCCTGAAACTTTCTAGAGAGAGGAGAGGGGATGCAGTTCTGTGCTGCTGACAAATGTTCAAGTCCCATCTTGGGGAAAAAATTAAAAATAGAAAGCAGAGGTTATTGTGTACTCCCCAGCGTAGCTATTTATTAAAACTTGTATGAAAACAAGTACGAAGGACATTCCAATATAATTAATTTATCCCAATAAGCCATCAGGATTTGACACAAGAGATTAACCAGACACCAAGAATTTAACAGGAAATCACTCTGAGAAAGAGACCCACAGTTTACAGACCAGCTGCCTGGGGTTACGCAAAAATGAGTGAAGATGTGCCATTGCATAAACAAAATCATCATTTTCCCCATTATCTGCCCTGGGATTTCTCATTAACAGACCTGCAGAGCTCTGTCATTTAAAGTCCAAGGCAAGGCAAGCTATCTTTGCAGAAGATAAGGGGGTTGCTAACCTTTGCTCAAGCTGCAGGTTCCACGCACTCTGAAAGGGCTTCAATCTGCTTTTTTGAGGGTGTTACCTTGGTCTCGAGGTTCACCTTATACAACAGCCCATACTGAGTTTAATAGAGGAAAAAAAGAATTATTTTTGTGCACGCTTAAACTGCATTGTTTGGAGTAGAAGATGTTTGGAACTTTATAGAGTTTTTTTCCCTAGCAATCACCGTCACCATCACCATCAAAACCAGCAGATATTTTTAACTGGACTAAATAAAGGTTACTTCCTGCTACCAAGATTGGAAATTCCATTTATACACCTTTTCTGGCAGCATCTGCAATGGACACCAAAGCCATTTCCCTGACCTTTATCCGATGGAGGGTGTGACTGAAGCCCAGACTGCATCACAGACGCTGGCACCGGCCACTCACAGGGAATTCCCTGTGCTCAGATTCAACTCAGGCTCCATCTGCAATAAACAATGTAAAAAATGGTTTATTGGTGATTCCACCTTGTGAGCATGCAACAACAAAAAACTCTTCTTTAAAAAAATCATGAAATTGATTTGCCTTGCAAAATTTCTTAGGAGAAAGAGAGATTTCTGCTTGGTTCTCCAGACCTTTCCATGCTGCTCCTGTCCCTCCTCTCAGGGACAGAGTCCCTTTGGCAAATGGTTCTTTTCTTGATTTGTTTCCTGTTTTCCCTTGCAGTGCTTCTCCTCACCCCCATTTTTCATTTTTAGTTCAGCATCTCCCTGTGCATCACTGTACAGCATTTTGTACCCAAGAGCACCCATGAACTTGCTGAAATTGCCCATTGTGAGGAAAAATCACGCTATGAAAAGCCAGTGTCCAGCAAGGAGACAGAGGAGTGCTGCAACTTTATTCAGATAAAGGGAGAGAGTGCTCTGGGTGCAGCCCCATGGAGTTTCTCTCTGGGGTTTTGGAGGGCACAGCCTCCTTTCATCCTAAACTCCAGGGTGTGTTGTGCTCTTCCTTTCCCCATCAGCTGAGGTACCAGGATGGTACACCTGGCACACCTCCCCCTTTGGACCTGGCATTTTACCTCCAGCTCTGAAGTTCAGGCTCTCTAAGCTCTGTGATAGGCTTTGTGAGGAGCCACTTGTCCATTACCCTGAGGTTCAGGAGTCACTGTCTGGGCTCTGCAATAAACTCGGGCCTTGAGGTTGGCAGAGGCATTTCAAACCCCCTGGTTGCAAAGATGTTAGTGCACATCTATCCTATCACCATCAATCTTCAAACTCAAATGAAAAACGTATTTCATGTCAGAAGACATGGGGAAAAGCCAGCAGATGTTGCAGAGGGATCCTGTGAGCTTGAAAGCCAGCAGATGTTGCAGAAGGATCCTGTGAGTTTGAAAGCCAGCAGATGTTGCAGAGGGATCCTGTGAGTTTGAAAGCCAGCAGATATTGCAGAAGGATCCTGTGAGTTTGAAAGCCAGCAGATATTGCAGAAGGATCCTGTGAGTTTGAAAGCCAGCAGATGTTGCAGAAGGATCCTGTGAGTTTGAAAGCCAGCAGATGTTGCAGAAGGATCCTGTGAGCTTGCCACAGAGCTCGAGCAGGGCTCAGAGGATCGCTCTCCAGCCACAATCACACCCTTCACCCCGACAAGCACAGAAACACAGAGGTTAAGTGATTTGTCACTGACAGAGCCAGGGTTGGGTTTCAGAAGCTCCTGGCCAACGTCCTGCATTCAGTTACAGCTGCACAAAGCATCTCATTTAACAGAGGTCTGACAAAGCCCACAGCCAGGGAGAGCATCAAAACCCCTCTGATCTGAAACAACACCGACCCAGCTCCTTTCCACATTCAAGAGCAGGCAGAGCTTCACGCTCTCGGCCCTCAAACAACAGGCACAGCGACAAGAGAGCAGAGAAATAAACTGCAGCTCATTCTAAAACAGCTTCAGCGCAAGTGGCTTTTGGAATTCACCATCCCAAACCCCAAAGCAAAGGTCCAGAACATTCACACGCTGTCTTATACGGCAGAATTAAGTGAGAACAGTTTAGAAGTTACTGAAAATACAAGGGTAGCTACAAGTTAACACAGAGACAGAGGCCTGGGACAGGAACCAAGCTCTAAGGTGATCACCGGAGCAGAAGCTACAAGGGAAACTTCAAAAATGGCCAGATACGACTTCTAAACCAGGCTTTGAGTAGAAAGATCAAATCCCACAGCCAGAGAGAAAGCTGAGCGAGGCTGATCCAGCACAGACACTTAGAGAGAGTTAACCCAGGGACTCGGGCAGCAGCCACACACGGGTGGGGACTGCTCCAGGGCCAGGCAGCCCCGCAAGCCCCAGCAGCCCCGGCTCCCCCGGCCGAGCACCGCAGGGAGCGAGCAGCCCCCGCCGACACTCCCTGCCCCAGCTGCCGGCGCTGCTCGGCCTCTTGGCTTTCAGAGCTCTCCTGCAGACAGCGGTGAAACGCTCCATTAGCTGCTCCATTTAGCACAGCTCCATCCCCACTCCGGGGAAGGGATGCTATTTAAACCACAGGCACGAAGCACGAGGTAACAGCACCGAGACACCGACATTTTTGGGTGTTTTGTTTGTTTGTTTTTGCTTTGTTTTGTTTTGTTTTGCAAGCAAGTCACTGAGCTCACAAGTAACTTGTCCGGTATTTTCTGTTGCAGAATTACTGTTCCTTAATGCAGAAACCTATTGCTGCTCTGATGGCTGTACAAACACTGACTAATGAGTAATCACCCCGCAGCCCTGAAGGCTGTTTTCATCATGTATAGCTATGGGAATGAAAAGCGGGAGCAGGGCATCCAGCCCAGGGCCACGAGCTGGAGTCAGTGCCCGGGGGGCTCGGGGAGGCCGGCGGCAGCCGAGCTGGGCAGGCTCCCCGTGCCTTACCTCACCTCCCGGCAAACTCCTGCGCTTTCCTTAAACTTCCAGGCTGGAGAGACTCGGGGTTCCGCGATCACCGGCAGCACATCCCGCGGCTGGGAGCGAGGGGAACGCCGATCCCCGTGGGGTTCGGGTCGGCGCTTTAAACCCTCCGAAACAACGCGTGGGATCGCCGTTCCGAGCAGGTGATGTTCTGGGAAGGAAAGAGAAAAGAAAGGAAGGCGTTCCGGGTGTGCCCTGGGTCAGCTCCGGCCCCTCCTGTGCGGCGGGGCGTGCCGGGACAGAGCCTGCCCCGACCCCCGGCCCGCAGCGAGCGCGGCTCT